CAAGGAGGAAGCCAGCCTGAGCTGTTGACTTTCCACTGTCCAGAGGGCACGGCCATTTTTATTTGTTTACACACGGCAGCCATTTTGGATATTCAAAGTGACCGAGGGCGCAGCCATTTTGAATATTTACAGGTGGTGGCCATTTTGGATAGTTAGAGTGACCAAGGGTACAGCCATTTTGAATATAACTGGCAACCATTTTGGATTTTAAAGTGATAGCATTCTCATTCAGATTCCAGGGACCTAAGCATAGCCTCTGTTTGCGAAGGTCGGCAGGGACAGACGAGAGGCTGACGACAGGAAAGGAGACAGGTGGTGAGTGTATAAGTGCTGTCAACTAGCGAATAGAGGAGCACAGTACGGTACCCTGCTGGTGTAGATAACATGCAAACAAAACAAAACGAAAGTCACGAGCAAGTTACTCCAACATACAATCACCAATTAAATATAAACAGAAACATCACAATGCCTCAGACACAACAGAGCATCACAGTCCACTCAAAGAAGCAAGATAAAACAGGAGAAACAAGGGACCAGGATACAGACCCAAAATACATCCCTGAGGAAGATGCAGCATTGGAACTCCCTGATAAAGGAATTCAAGAGAATTATATTTAGGTATCTTAAGCGAATTGAGTGACAGATCAAAGAAAACATAGAGAAAACCCTAGAACAGTTTCGAAGGACAGTGCAAGAACAAAATGACAAAATAAATGAAAAATTAAAAATGAGACAAAATCCAAACACAGAAATCCAGAAGAATAATACTAAATTTTCAGAAATAGATAAGACATTGAATGGGCAAAGGAGCCGAATTGAATCAATGGAAGACAAAATTAGGGAGATTGAAGGCACTGAACACTTCTTTGGAAAGGGATAAATCAGAAAAAAGATCAAAACAAAATGAAGAAAGCCTAAGGTTCATGTGGAATACCATCAAAAGGAATAACCTACGTGTAATGAGAATTCCAGAACAGGAAGAGAAAAATAAAACCACAGAGAAAATTGCTAAAGATTTGTTGGAAGAGAATTTTCCTGGTGTGATGAAAGATGAGAATATATCCATTCAGGAAGTCCAGCAAACCCCAAACAGGATAGACCCCAAAAGAAAATCACCCAGACATATCATCATCAAACTCTCCAAAACCAAAGACAAAGAATCATGAGAGCAGCACAGGAAAAACAAAAAGTTACCTGTAAGGGGCAACCAATAAGACTAAGCTCGGATTTCTCGAGAGAAACTATGCAGGTGAGAAGACAATGGGATAGTATATATAAAATCCTGAAAGAAAAAATTTCCAACCAAGATCCAGCAAAATTGTCCCTCAAATATGATGGCGAAATTAGAACATTTCCAGATAAGCAGACATTAAGGGAATTTGTTAAAACCAGACCAACCTTACAAGAGATGCTGAAGGGAGTCCTTTGGATGGAGAAGCAACAACAGCCAACAACAACTGACAGTTAACACACATGATGATATAACCCAGAAACCAACCCAGCTATGGAAGTAAATAAGCCTACAGGATTGTAAACAGGGAACAAGAGACATCAATTGACAAATGAGGACAACTACAAACCAAAAACAGGGAAAAAACTGTGTTGTTACAGAACTTCTAGATGGTAGGGAAAGCAAGACAACTAACTACAAGATAGAATGGACTGTTCTAAACTTGAGAAAAAAAAACTATAAATCACAGGGTAATCTCAAAAATGAAAAACCTTCACATCAAAAAGAGGACCAGCATAAGTATTTAGCAAATACTAAAACAATAGCAATGAAGGAAGTGATAACACGATTCATAAACAAAATGAGCTCAGCATAGAAAATTATATGGAACAAAGAAATCGACACCATGAAAAAGCACATAACAAAAATGACAGCAACAAATTCATATTTGCAGATAATTATGTATCTGGCAAGGGACTTATTTCTAAGATTTGTAGTGGAAGAGTGGACGACCAAACTATGGTACATACACATAATGGAATGCTATGCCGCACTAAAGAATAATGTGGAGTCTGCAAAACACAGCATAATATGGATGAACTTGGAGGACACTATGCTGAGTGACATAAGTCAATCACAGAAGGACAAATACAGTATTAGCTTGTTGTTGTGGAGAGTCAAGGAAAGGTTTATATAT